TGGCTCACTGGGAAAACTTCAGAAATTCATATAGACTTGTGAGCTCAGCTACTCAGCAGCCCCTCTGCCTGAGTGATAATTCCTGGCATCCTGATACCTGAGTGCCAGACAGGTAGCCATTCCAGAAATAACAAACCCAGATGAAGACAAAAGGGTGTGGTTAACCTGGCAGGGAAACAGGGAAATGTAAATATCTCTTTTGTTACACTTGATGGGTGTTTGGTGGAGGGCAAGGAGAACCATGGGGCAGGGTCCAGGATGCTCAGATTACTGCCACCAGACCTCCCTTTTCATGATGTAACCATGATGTATTAGTGATGTAGTTTGGGGGGCGGGCGTGTAACATGGGGATTAGCAGCTAATAAAAGTTTGGGTGCTCTTTTGTTCGGGGCTTCCATCTTGTTCCACCTTGTGGCAGGTGGGAGTCCTGTTGCGACAGTTTTCAATAAAGACCAAGCCTACTGGCTGCTGTTTTGCTCTGGTATTCCTGGCTGCTGTCCTTGTTTTTTAAAAGAGAACCACCATCAGCACCTCCCATTCCAAGGGGCAGTGATGGAGGGACTCAGAGGCTGGTTCACTCCAGTGGGCTGGATTGTGCGCAAGTGCGCCCACAATTTCCGACGTCTAAATCTGCACAGACATGATTTCAGGCAGCGCAGAAGCAAGTCCCCGCGCTGCGCTGTGACAGTTTAGCGCAGTGCACGGGGACTTGCGAAGCGGGCGGCTTGGTTGGGGGGTGGCTCATGGGCTGGTTAAACAACCCGCATGGGCTGTTTGTGGCCCATGGGCCTTAGGTTGCCGACCCCTGAGCTAGCCTCATCTTAAATTCCTCTATGGTTTTATTGATCCCCTCTAAGTTTAAAATGTGGCATTGTTTATTGCCTCTGCCTGCTGCTAGTTCTATAGTGTTAGGTTTTAAAATTTGGATGAAACAGATCATCTGTTTCTGAATTAGCTCTGCTTTGCAAAAGTCCATTTGATTATTCTAGAGCTTATTTTCCCTCCTCCCTCCCTCCCTACCACTCCCCAACCCTGACCCTCTTAAAGAGTTAAGAGGATTTGAAAGAAAGGAAAATAGCATTTACAGTCTTTTGAACTGCCTTGAATTTAAGCTCGCTGCATCTGTCCTGAGATAAAGATTAACTGTTTTCTGGCTTGTGACCGGTGTTGTGGCAATAATATTCAAAGGTAAACGCAGGCTGGCATGGGAAGAGCAGAGCTTAATGCAGGAGACTGCAACTTAGAAGAGATAACAGAGTACAATCAAGAATGTGCTTGGAGAGAGATCACACCATGATAAAAAGATAAGGACGACTGTTCTCCAATTTGTTTGCTTTGTTTCAGCCAAAAGCCAACTGGCAGTATCTTGCATTCCATGGCCACCGTCCAGAACAGAGTTAAGCGCACATAAGTCCCATTGAAACTGAGGAGTCAAAGTAGACATTGCAAGGAACTTGTGACTTCCTTGCATTTCCTTGGCAATATCTAGTTAAAGAAAGTGCAAGATGATGCAACATCATTGCACTCAAATGGGGTGCAGAAATTCTTATAAAGCACAGTGAACGTCTTCTAAAATCTTGTTAGGTGAATTAACGGAAAATTAATTGTTCTTAAGTGTCATCTCTTACAAGACAGTACAGAGGTTCTTGCTGTTCTCCATCCCTTGTAAGGTCTAGTTTCGCTCAGTGCATTTCATTCTGTGCTAGACAAAGACGATGTACACACATTACCATTTACTATGGCTTCAGTGAGCTCCCACAGCTGGTGTTTGAAACCAAGTATTACCTACAACCCATCTGTATCCTGCAGTTCCATGAAAAATGCTGCTGACTGATGCACCTATCCTTAAATCAGCTTCCACCTGATTCGAAAACATAAGCTGCAGTTAAATTGGTGCAGGGAAACAAATCAGGTAAATGGGTGTACCACAATGTAAAACATGACTTGAAATGCAGTGGGACGGGGTGTGTGTGTGTGTGACCTTGCTGTGCTTTAAGCCACAATGTATATGCCCAAACTTCTGCAACAAGAGATTCTCCCTTGATCTGTATCCTTGGTCATCTACAAGTTTTGTGAAGGATTCCTTTGAGAAGAAATTGCTTATGGGGGACGGGGGGGGGGGAGGAGGTGATCTGGGCTCCACCGCAAATTGTCTGCTGTAGAAACTACCGTATTTTTTGCTCTGTAAGACTCACTTTTTCCCTCCTAAAAAGTAAGGGGGAATGTGTGTGCGTCTTATGGAGTGAATGCAGGCTGCGCAGCTATCCCAGAAGCCAGAACAGCAAGAGGGATTGCTGCTTTCACTGCGCAGAGATCCCTCTTGCTGTTCTGGCTTCTGAGATTCAGAATATTTTTTTTCTTGTTTTGCTCCTCCAAAAACTAGGTGCGTCTTGTGGTCTGGTGCGTCTTATAGAGCGAAAAATACGGTATTTAATCCACAACTGTCTTGGGGGTTAGCACAGCAACCCAGGAAGGAGTTAGCCCAGATGACATGACGAAAGAGGGTCAGATATAGTTTCCGGGGCTGCCAGTTCCTAACCTATAATGTAGTATAAAAAGGTAAAGGGACCCCTGACCATTAGGTCCAGTCGTGGGCCAACTCTGGAGTTGCGGCGCTCATCTCGCTTTATTGGCCGAGGGAGCTGGCGTACAGCTTCTGGGTCATGTGGCCAGCATGACTAAGCTGTTTCTGGCGAACCAGAGCAGCGCACGGAAATGCCGTTTAACTTCCCGCTGGAGCAGTACCTATTTATCTACTTGCACTTTGACATGCTTTCGAACTGCTAGGTTGGTAGGAGCTGGGACTGAGCTACGGGAGCTCACCCCGTTGCAGGGATTCAAACTGCCAACCTTCTGATCAGCAAGTCCTAGGCTCTGTGGTTTAACCCACAGCGCTGCCCGCGTCCCCCTAATGTAGTATATCCACCCCCATAAGGATAGGGTAGAATTATCCTTACTCAGTGTGGCCTGAGAGGAATGCACGGGGGGGGGGGGAATGCAGTTGGACTGCGTTGCCCCGACATTGCATAGGTAAGCCCTTCCTGTACTAGCCAACAGAAAGGAGGCAACTTTCAGATAAATCTCACTTGCCCTGCAGCCCCAGCTAATTGCAGCTCACATACAACCTGCCAGCAGCAAAGTTATTATTGCTCAATAATCATGCGGTCTTCCTTAATCATATGACTGAAGAATGTTAAGTCCCACGTGCATTAATGGTTTTTGTGCTGATGTATTGGAATTATACAAGAGCCTTCCCTCCTGCATTTGCTCCTGCTAGCCTCCTTAAGTGCCCCTGGGCTCTTAGTACCTGCAGAATGGAACAAGGCGCCTTTTAGAATTCAAAGAGCCAGACGGGAACAAAAGGACCCATTGTTAATGTTTCCGAAGAGCTACTCCCATGCTGGAGCTGTAAAATTAAAGTGGAATGTCCTGCAACAAGAGATCAAATATTTGACCATGCTGAGGGTATTTATTTAGATTTGGCAGTCAGGTTGGAAGCTGCTAGTCAGAATCTAACCAAGCATTAGGGGAGAGGTGTGTGATTATCTGGTGACCTGCATCTAACACATGCCCCCCTCATCTATTACCTGTGGTACAGTGTGGACATTACTCTGAACACACAAAAGGGGGAAGTGGGATATAGTGGTTGAAGGGGAAGATCATGAGAGTCGGATGTGGTCCTTTAACCCACACCAACTTCAAGAGATGCTTTCTTCTGCTGCCGTTTCAACAACATTCTGCAGGAAGCAGAAGCAGAACTGAAATTTGCTCGGATGATTCAAGTTATTGACTTCCAAGACAAGGCCCCAACTGAAGAATCTTTCTAAGAAGATTCCTGGGGATCAATCAGGCATATATACAGCAAGCCCGCAACCTGCACCCTTGGTTTCAGTTTCAGTCCCTTGGTGTTTGCAGCACATCTGCAGTTAGGGCAATCTGGAAATGGCGTTTGGAACAGGTGTGCAGGAAGGGAGGAAGCACAGTAAATCTGTGACACATTCCTGCTTCCCCAAATCACCTGCGATAACTGTTTGTAGTGCAAAGCATAAAGTGCATAAATGAGAGCCATGGTTATTATTATTATTATTTGCAAATGCACCTCATTTTCAATACATGTGCCCAGACTGACTTTCTTCCTTCGGTTTGAATTATTGTCATTACCCTTCTGTGGTTAGTCTTCTACAGTATAGTTTCTGGCCCCTTTCCCTCTGTTATGGCATTTCTCTCCCTCCTGGCCCACCCAGTAATGTCCTTGATAGCTTATTCTGCAACAAATCCACTTTATGAAACTGGTCCAATTGCAGCAGCTCCCTCCACCCATTCTCCCTCCCACTGGAGAGAATATGCTTAGTGTGTGTTCATAACTTTTTCTTTTTTCAAAGGATCATGCCATGGTGATGTAGAGCTCTGGCGAGCGAGTGGCCCAGCCCACCCGATGCTGCGCAACAACATTTCCAGTGCGTGATATTTGGGGGGAAGGGAGAGGCATTCCTCTAAAAAGCGCTTACAAAGTACTCCCTTCAAACAGCTGAAGGCTCCAATGCCCATTGATAGCAGGCCTTTAAAGATAAATTCCCATGCCCCCTTTTAAAGTATTTTGAAAAGGCTACAACTTGTCTGAAAGTTAGCCTCGGTTGGAAGAAGGTCAGGTTGGGCTGGGGGGTGGGGATAAGAAGGAAACAACAACACGGCAAAGATCTTTTCACTGCAAAAACCAAACAAAAAAGACAGACGCAAGGAAGAAAAAATGAGCCCGTTCTGGGGACTTGTTGCAGATCAGAGCGGGAAAGCTGCTTTGCAATCGTGGCAATTAAAGACTTAACGAGACTGGTGTTTTTCTGCGGGTGTATTCTGCAACGTGTCACCGATGCGAATAAATAGTATTTATACTATTTAAACTCAAGGTGGTGAACATGGTTCTCGCGCTCCTCATTTAATTCTCACAACAACCTTGTAAGGCAGGTTAGGCTGAGAGGCAGTGACTTGCCAAGGTCACCCATTGCCTTGCGCAGGAATTTGAACCCTGGTCTCCCTGGTCCTAGTCTGATGCTCTAACCACTGCGCCACACAGGTAGTAGTGCATTTGTGGTGGATTTGTACTGGACTGTTTTCACATCAGTCTGCTTTATTAGTAGTTCATCAATGTTTTCCTGACAATATTTCATTATTGCTGCATGGAGGGACACTCTTGCATTACAGCACAACAAAAGCGGGACTATTCCCTGCCAGCCCCCAGGATTCTCCACGGTATAAAAAGTTGCAAGAGTTCAGCAGGAAGCTGTGGGACAAGCACAGTATGTCCGCCCTGAAACCTGCAAGTATTTTAACTTTCGTATGAGGAGCAACTTTGGTCTTCCCTGTTCATACCAGTAAGTTTTCCCTTCTGTATTTGTTGGTGCCTCCTAATTGGTTGGTTTCATTATGCTAATTAAGTATCGACAGGACAGGTGCACAGACAGCTTTCTGAGCTCCTTGTTCTTTTGTTTATATTTTATTCACCACTGAGGAAGTGTGCAAAAGCACACTGTCAGGGAACTGTAAATTCCCAGCATACAATTTTCACTGTGATTTGCTTGTGCAAATCTCAGGGACCAAAAGAAAATGGAAGACTATAAAACTAACCCTACTCCTGTCGTTCTATAACGGCTACATCACAGTGGCCTTTCCAACAGCATAAAACAACTTTGCTTGGTCTGGTTAATATATCAAATCAACAAGGGTGATATTTGAAGACATGTTTGAGTTGGGAACTGGGAAGCAGAGACATTCCCCTCTTTTATCTTGCTTTAATAAGCAGGCTTTGATTTTCCCTGCCCCACGAGCTCTTCCACCTGTGCAGCTGAGCAAGCATCTTTGGGGAATATACTGTAGCTAGACAGCCCCCGTCCTCTTTGCATTCAAAGTCAACAACAGCAGATGCCTGGGGGGGTAATTATGGGACCCCCGCTCTGAAGCAGCTGCTTTCAACGCCAGGATATTTACCGGCAGGAACAGCTCTTGTTTTCCATCTTCCACCTCATTATACTTATGAATTAAATAAAGGGGAATGGTTACACAATGCATAACGCATTAGCAAGTGGCCTGAGGAGAGAAGGGCAGGCGGTTCCAGGCAGAGGGTTTGCGTAACAGCCCACAGGCCTCTTGCTTAGGGAAGTCAGGCTATACAGGGGGATATAAAGGCTCTCAGGCCTGCTGACTTGCTCCGTTCGCCACAGTCTTCTGTTCTCTAGCGCAGGGGTGGGGACCTGAAGCCATCTCAAGGTTGCCTCAATTAAGCTCTCAGCTATGCTGGGTGTTGCTGCTAGGAGTTGGGGGGGGGGAGCAACATCTGGAAGCCACAAGTTCCCCACCCTCGGCTAACGATGGATGAGTAACTTTGATGCACCCTGTGCGTCAAAATAAAGCAAAACAGCAAAAAGAAGCAGTAGCTGGGGCAGCCATAGGCGTTTTTCAGTGAGATGTAAAACTTAAGAAAAAGGTAAAGGTAAAGGGACCCCTGACCATTAGGTCCAGTCGTGACCGACTCTGGGGTTGTGGCGCTCATCTTGCTTTATTGGCCGAGGGAGCCGGCGTACAGCTTCCGCGTCATGTGGCCAGCATGACAAAGCCGCTTCTGGCGAACCAGAGCAGCTCATGGAAACGCCGTTTACCTTCCCGCCAGAGCGGTACCTATTTATCTACTTGCACTTTGATGTGCTCTCGAGCTGCTGGGTGGGCAGGAGCAGGGACCGAGCAACAGGAGCTCACCCCGTCATGGGGATTCGAACTGCCGACCTTCTGATCAGCAAGTCCTAGGCTCTGTGGTTTAACCCACAGCGCCACCCATGACCCTTCAAAACGTAAGAAAGGATCATAGAAATGTAGAGTTGGAAGGTATCCCCAAGGGTTATCTAGTGTCAGGCTATGAGGACTAGGCTTCTTCCCCCTATTTGGCCGTAGATAAGCAGGACAAAGCGAAGAGACATGCTTAAAGTCTTTAATGACCACAGCAAAAGAACAAAACAGCCATTCTCGGAATGAAGTTGCTCCGAATTAAGGTTTCCACCCACTTGGGGAATTCTGGACGGCTGCACGGAGCTAATGGTGTCTTTTCGTCTGGGATCTGGCGTATTATGGCTCCTGTTGGCAGAAACCGAAAATGGAATTGCTGAAATGTGGATAATATCAGGGGGAAAAATTTCACACAGAATTATGAAGGCAAAAGTTTGAACAGACCAGTGGTTGTGAACATAAATGAAAATTAAGTGAAGGATCAACATCAGAATGGTTTATTGAGTAATTAAGAAATGCAATTTGATTAGATGATTAGCACTCTGCAAACTTCAGAGCATGGGAAGTCACCCAAAGATATATAATGTGGCAATATATGTGGCATTTTTTTTATTGTGTTGTAATTTGGAATGTTTTAATGTGGTTCTTATTGGATTATTAAATTGGAAAACTCAAGAAAATATTATATATCTATATCTATATCTATATCTATATCTATATCTATATCTATATCTATATATCTATATCTATATCTATATCTATATCTATATCTATATCTATATCTATATCTATATCTATATCTGTATCTGTATCTATATCTATATCTATCTATCTATCTATCATCTATCTATCTATCTATATATATAGGTTTCCACCCACTTCCCCCCCTAGTCACTTCTGCTCCTTGCAACCTGATCTCGCAACCACTGTGGACTGATAGGCTGGACACTTTCCAGTAAGAGAGAGTCTATTAGCTCTCTCTCTCTCCCAGTTCTTCTTCACTTTGCTGTTCAACCCCCAGTTCGTCCCAACTTTTGTCTTCAGAGCTATGCCCCTCTGCAAACCACTATTCCAAATCTATAGTGCTCCACTGCTCCTGGGGAGCTTCAGGATCCTGGTCAGGAGCAGGGGGAGGCCCCCACCATTCCTCATCAGAGCTGCACTCCTCAGCCTGGACTCTGACATCTAGTCCAACCCCCTGCAACGCAGGACTCACAACTAAAGAATTTGTGACAGATGGCCATCCAACCTCTGCTTAAAGGAGAGGAGGAGAGATGGGGATGCACATTTCTATTCCTGCATTCATCCAATTCTACAATTTTGTGATTCTATAGGTAGCCAGATGAACATACTACAAATAATTTACCGGTAATTATGACTGGAAATGTTTAAAGAGGGGAGAAAGCAGCTATGGCATGGAAACATCCCTTTTGGAGATCCAACAGAGCACGGCAGAGAGACCATGTGCTGCCAATGATAGGAGATGTGGACATACTAGAGACCGTGTGCCAGATAATGTACATCTTGGGAACATTTAGACCAAATGGAAAGCATATAAGCACGGGAAAAGTACAAATTACACTGGCAGTCTAAAAGGACTTTCTAAAGCACCCTTCCTTCCATCTCGTGCCCCCCAGATATTTTGGACTATAACTCTTATCCGTCTCAGCCATTGCGACCGTACTGACTGGACCTGATAAGCATTATAGTGCAAAACATTTTCCCCAACCCCACACATATGGCATTAAAAACACCTCTGAGCCTTTCTCACACTAACCATACTGAAATATACTTGGAGTCCTGTAGTGATTTCACGCTCTTTATTGCAGCTTGTAAAACAGTGATTGGATTGCCCCTCAAACCTCAGGCTTTTATATACATTATTTACAAAATGAGTCTCGTCTGATTGGCTGATTCTGCTTCCCTCCTGGATTGGTCTTTTCCTGCTAGCCAATCAGTTGTTGCATTCCAGGATCCGACTTGCCTGTTGTTCTAGGATCCAAGCTTAGTACATAACACATACGCAAGTGTGAATGATGTTAAAGGCGGTGAGGGAAAGCAGGTCACTTTTCAAGCAAATGTATTTTGCGTTCAGAGCCCAGCTGTGGGAAATGCAAAACCAAAATGAAACAGAAACCTGATTTTAAGCATTGTGTGACCCTGAGCTAGCTAAAGTAAGTCTCAGGAAACCTAGGGAACAGGGTAAAGGTAAAGGTAAAGGGACCCCTGACCATTAGGTCCAGTCGTGACCGACTCTGGGGTTGCGGCGCTCATCTCGCTTTATTGGCCGAGGGAGCCGGCGTACAGCTTCCGGGTCATGTGGCCAGCAGGACTAAGCCGCTTCTGGCGAACCAGAGCAGCACACAGAAACGCCGTTTACCTTCCCGCCGGAGTGGCACCTGTTGATCTACTTGCACTTTGACGTACTTTCGAACTGCTAGGTTGGCAGGAGCAGGGACTGAGCAATGAGAGCTCACTCCGTCATGGGGATTCGAACTGCCAACCTTCTGATCGGCAAGTCTTAGGCTCTGTGGTTTAACCCACAGCTCCACCTGCGTCCCAGGGAACAGGGATATGTAACAACAAAAGTCCTATTGCGTTCAACAGGATTTTATCATGATTTAACGTATGTGTATCAGAGTCTGTGGCTGCCATCTAATGCTCACTTACCTGGGAGTAAGCTCTGTTGAACAAAGTGGAGTTAATTCTAAGTGACATGGATGGGATTGGTCTGATAAGGTGAAAATGCTGGTAATTGCTCTTATTGAAACACAAACACCAACTCTTTTTAAAATTCTGATGACTGTGAAAATGAAGGACTAATATTTATAACAACAGTAACACCTGACAGATCACATTTCATACTGTTTTATTAAAGAGGAGGTGATAATGTAATTTCCTTTGCTCATCGTCCATATGTGTCATTCTCATTGTTGTTGTTTTTTAAAAAAATTGATAGCTTTTTAAAGTTTTCGTGCTGGGACTTCCGGGGTGGCGCCATCGGTAATGGCGGACTCCCTCTGATCCGGAGGGACTGGCTCCACGGAAAACGGGTCTTTCCCACTACGGCGAAGCGGGGACCCTTTGAAAAATCACAGGCGGATGAAGCCTGTGACCATGGGACTCGGCAGGCACCTTTTGCGCCCCCCCAACTCGTAAAGGAACCCAGTTACGGGCTCTGGAGCGAAGAGGGGCAAGTGGCGCGGTGCTGAGAGTCAACTGCTTCTTCCGTGGAGCGAAGCCGCATAGCCGTTGCCGGAGAGCGCTGCCTTTTTCCTGGGACAATTTGGCTTTTAAAACAA